ACACAGAGACACAGACACAGACACAGACACAGACACAGACACAGACACAGACAGAGACACACACACAGACACAGACAGAGACACAGACACAGACACAGACACAGACACAGACACAGACACAGACACGGACACACACACACACACACACAGACGCACACACACATACATGCTCAGCAAGGGTAAGTAACTGCGACGGGCGAAAAACAGTACCAGATAGATGACACTGAAAATGGAATTGGAAGTCAGATTATGGCAACCGTGCATGCGTGAATGCAAATTGAGAAGAAATCTCGAGAAAAGACGTTGAGCAAGAGCAGCACGTGCGCACACAGACAACCGCACAAACTTAAATTTAATTGATGACGGACCCGAGCTTCACATGCCTGTTGGCTAAAGTGTCAATAACCGACCCGTGGAGTCAAGCACGCATGACGAGACCCCTGTTCGAGGCTGGTGGCCTTACCTCAAGAATCAGGACCTCATCCCTTCAGCCCAAGGCCTCACCCCACGCCGACATCACAAATTCTTCAACCGTAAGGTGGAGGAACAAATGCGCAGCTTGGCTTACGGATCGGAGACGCTGCGGCCGCCAACGTCACAAAGGATTCTAGATGAGGCCCGACGCGGGGCAGTTGGTTGTGGAGGGTGTAGTGCCAGGGTTCAGGAATCGTCGTGAGGTGTTCGGGTTGTTGAATCGAGGGTTGGTTTTCTGGGTGGGTTTTGCCAACTGCTATGAGATGCAACTTCAACTTCCAGCCACAAAGGGGGAGCATCTTGAAAACGCACCATCTTCAATCGAGTTTTTCCAACGGGCCGGAGGCTTTGTCTGCTTGTCATTGCTGCACGCTTTTGGCTTTTGGGTCTTATGGGTTAGGGTTGTGGTTCATGAATATATTTATAGGCATATATATATATATATATATGTACACACTCACACATTTCCGCGGTATCATGTTGTTCCATGAACATAATTTGTATGACAACATGGCATATCTGTAGTGCGAACTGTGCAACTGGACCAAGAAGCAACGATCCACACGCGTCACCATTTAGCTCACAAATTCCGAGCCCATGAGCCAGGAAATGAACAAATCAGCAGTCAAGCTAACGGAGGAACAAACCGATGATCGATCAGTCATTGGTGTAACCCGCGGGGTGAGCCAAGCAAGTGAACAAGCGAATGTGTGGTATCACATGTGATATAGTGCAATCTAGTGCAATCAAACGCAATGATGACATGAGGAGGCAACTGTGAATCAGCAGCTTCATAATTACGAGAGCAAGCGGTAGCATTGGTAGAAACAAGGCTTCAACAGTTGTAAGCAACAATCACGTGTCAACAAAAGGGTTTGAAGCACTCTTGCTGAACACTCGCTGCTCCTCGTCCTCGTTGTCGTCGTCGCAGGCAGCCATGACTCTAGCTCGTCGAACTGGTGAGTATACCGGAAGCAAGATCAATGCTAGTAAGCCAACACTGATCATCCCCGGAGCAAGGTCGATCGGCAAGAGGCATGTGAGTTCCGATAATCATCCAAAGCCTACATCATTGAACAGTAGAGCTCCGTCCTAAACCCGTTGATTTGTGCGCAACCTGCCCTACGCGTAGTCGCCTTCCGTTCTCCAGCGCCAGTGCCTTCAGCAATCCAACCCGGAATCCACAACGTAAGGGCCGTAACCTCTGTCAAAACCTCAATCCATCAAGCCCTGATGCGAACCTTCTAGGTCCTAGCACGTGAACCACCATGCCTGCCTGAGGTCCTTGCCAGGGTAGAGCCACCGGTAAGCGCGTTCGCCGAGTCCCTGGAGGATTGGTCAGGGGTTTCATCTCGATTCTCGGTTCTCTGGTTAAGGGCTGGGTCCTGTAAACAGATTTGGGTCAACCAGGGCTCCATGGGAAGGAGGGGGGGTTTTGACTGTAAGCCTTTTGGCAGTTTAGGGGTTCTGGCGTCTTGGTTTAAACGACGAGCTGTGGAGCTGGGGTTTCCATTCCTTTGAGAGATCGAAGAGAGAATGGAGAAGAAACGCCGAATGCAGAGCTGGGGCATTTGTCGGCTTGTTGGGAGAAACCGACACGGATTTGAACACAATCAATACCGATCAGTGAGTCCTTGGTATTTTCATCGACGAATCGCTAAAATGTTTTGCCGTGGTACTTGTATGCCGGGATTTCAGGGCTTGGGGTTTGCGGCCGATCTGTACTGTCTGAGACCCCGGACCGCATGCGCGCAGGAGAGCAACGGCAACGCTGTCGCCGCTGCGAGTCTGACCATGATCCAGGTGCTGCATCTTGACGTTGGGGTGGAGCATTGGGGCTTGTTCGGGTCGGTGAACGACTTGCCAAATGACTATAATGCAGCTTTGCAGAAGTGCGGACGCAAGTTAGCAGCAGGGAGGCCGATGTTCCATAGCCGTTCAGGCCAAAGCTTTGCAGCAATTCCCTCCACTTCGCTTGCTAACCTTGTCCCTAGATGCTGTAGAAACATGAGCTGCCCCAACAAGCTATGAGGGCAGTTAAGCATGGTCGAGGGTGTATATGTAACGGGCAAGATCATACTTGCATATATTTGCTACTTGGATTAGCGAGGGGACGTCTAAACCCGAAGCCCTGACCGAGGGCGAAGTTCTGCCAACTTACGATGGGGACGTCCGCGAAGGGTTTCTAAAGCCGTGGTCTAGTGCTATGCCTGGTAATTATAACTCGACTCAAACGCAGGGAAACATCGAGTCTTTAGTTTTTGCGAGGGTTTTTGAGTGAAGGGTTAGCGGGTTGAACAAGCCAAGAAGCCTACAACCCTGAGCCAAAACCTCAAGCTAGGCAGATTGCACCTCAAGCCCAATGCCTGCGAAACCCAGACATCTGAAACCAGGTTTCCGTTTTGGGTTGAAGGCGAGGCTTGGCCCTCGAGCCAGTGCTAAGCTGGTTAAGCCGCAGAAGATCCGCCCTCATGACGAGGATCACTTGCAAATCCAGCCTCTGGGCGAACGTGTGCCCGAACCACATCAATTGTCCACTAGGACACCATCCGTTCCCAAAGCATCCATGCCCCGCACCATGCTCATGTCCATACGAATGCATTCGTTCCCATAACATCCATGCCCAATCCGTGTTAACGTCCACGTTCAGGTGCATCCTTTTACCAGAGCAGCCATAGCCCGACCGTGATACAAGCTCTAGCCCTAGCACGTACTGAGGCCAGAGCATCCATGGCCCAGTTTGTTTTGTGGCAAGCGCATCCTTGGCCCAACTATGATGACGTCCATGGTCTATGAGATCTGTGTTGAGGTCCTGAGTCCCATCATACCGTCCATGGCTTAATCGACTTAAAGGCCAGATTATCCTTCGTCCAAATATCGTGCCCACAGTGGCCATTTCGACAACTTCAAACACGCTCAAGCATGAAATGTTGCGAAAGTCATGCCGCTGCTAGGTGACGACCCAGATGCGAAAACCAAACCCTGAGCTCTAAAACAAACTGAGTCTTCACGATTCAGTGAGGGGATCTCTCAAGGGCAGACACCCCAGCAAGACTCAGTGTCTTGCAGGCCCTGAACCAGCTTCAGAACCTCTACATTGGTGAGGCTACAAGGGAAGCAAGTTTTGGGCTGGGTGTGAGGACGCTATTATGGACCTTCGAGGATGGGTGTGAACTGGCAGTGTTTTGAGAGCAAGCTGTATAATTCACCGCTTCAGAACCAGTAGTTCGAAGAACACAACCATCTTCACATGCTTGTGGGATTGGCCTTGGCGCAGTGCCGCGCACTTTGGGTGTGGCCTTAGGGCTTGTTGGACTGGAGCCCGAAGCAGGCTGTGCTGAGTTCTCCTTGAGCCTAGTCAGGCTCAACGTGCAACCCCCGAAATCCTAAAACCTTAGGCTACAAGTGTGGAAGGGTTTAACATCGCGAAAGCGCTTGATGCTGTTTTGTGCCTCCATCTTCTGATTCGTTGCTTGCGGACTCTAATTACAGTTTGAGCTCTAAGAGCTGGGCAGATTATCGTTCCAGGAGAAATGCACGTCGGAAGCTTGTAGCTACTTGTTGGTGTGCATCGTTGACCTCATGTCGCGCAGAGATGTATTCGTCAATTCCAAGATCTTGTTCAGAGTCCTGGGCCCATGGTAGACTCTCCAGACCTCAGGCTTGTGGCCGAGGTGCCAAACCAAAGGCAACCAAAGACCCGAGATGCAACTCCACAACCAGCAGCCCGATCCCAGACTCAGACCCCTCAGAGCCAAACCCAAATAAGTGTCAAGTCCGCCTACGCCTTTTTCCTTAAGTCGATGCTGCTAAGAGGCCACCACAGCTTTTCCATCGCTGCCGGCGGCGAGAGTGGACGCTGCCAGCCAGCAGATCCTGTTGGCCCAGAAGGCCGCATCTGCAAAAGGGGTAAATCTTGAAAGCAAATCGAAGCTCCGCAGTGTTTGGTTCTCCGGGTTTATGAAGGTGTTCCGAAACTTCTGGCGGCTGAAGAGAGCGCAAGAGTATGTCTGTACGGTCCCCGTGGGCCGGGGAGTACGGAGCAATCTTCGGAAGCACACTCTCAAAGAATCCGTGAGTCTGCGCCGCTGACCGTAGCAGAAGCAGACTGAGGTTGTGCCCTCGAAGCTTAAATCTGAAACACCATCATGCCGTTCCAACCCAGCACTCGAAACCCTAGATTCCCAACCCCAGACCAAGAACCCTCATCCCGCAAGTGCCGAGAAAGATCTCCTGTAGAATTCAAGGAGGCGGCATCCCGAAATGTGGATATCCTCAAAGCAACCCCAAAGCACAGGTTTCAATCCGAAAAGAGAAAAGCAGAACATCTGAAGATGTGATCATTCCATTACACAAGGACTGCACAACCAACTGTTCAGTGACGATTGGTGCAGATAGTGGCTCTGCTGGAGTGTAGGGCTTGCCACGACCCTGTCTGGACCCTAAGCATCGACGAACAACTGCTGCAAGCACAATTGTATGAAGTTGAACCTCGTGAAACATTCTGCTGTTCGGACCCCACCCCCCAACAACAAGCCACTTGAAACTCAAATTCGTAGCTTCGGTTGACCACTTAGAAAGACTAAACCCTACTCCGAATCTTCGAACACCTCGCCCCGAAGCCCCCAACCGCTCAAGCCTTGACACACATTTCCACAAGAAGCCCCCCAAACCCTAAACCAGGGCGCGAGGGAGTCGATCCAGTTCGTTTATGGCATCACTGGTTCCAATGCCGCAGTCTTCGACACGATTAGCCAGTGGCAAGCGCTGCAGGCAGGCAGCTCAGTTCGGCTTTGGCTTCCGGTGATGGCTGCGCTGAAGTTTAAGATTCTTTACAGGCGCGAGGCCCTGCCCATTCACAGCACGGTTATTAGCGCTGTGACAGGTCGGACACGTAGTTCAGGATTCCAATACTCATCTGCTTGAGACATGTGCGTGCCACTGTTTTTTTTTTAAATTGTGATCCTCAAAGGGCCGGTCATGATTCTTGCATTCTTCCTGCAATGCATGCAGGACAACCTGAAAAATGGTGGCAATGGGCTTCCTGCCATCTCGCCGCAGAGGCATCGAGAGTAGGTAGGGGGACGCCGTCAAAGCAAACATTAGTGCCAATGGAAAGATGCAATCGTTCACATCTTCAGACGAAGAGGAATGCAGTCCAAAGAGTAGATGTGAGGATGGCAGCAATTTCGACGTCGATGAGAGCAATGACGAATCACAACAGACACTTATGAGAGTAAAGCTCGGGATAGCAAGAGCAACGCTCAGATCACTTTGATTTGCTATGTGATGCTGGTTGTAAGAAGGGTCATGCGGGATGAACGGCAACACATTTTGTACAAAGTGCCTGCTGTTTGTTGCCTGCAGCTAGACAGTAGTAGCGGCAGTAGCGCCATAGACGGCAAAGACATGTTTCATTACTAGGCTAAGGAATGTTGCCGCTGTCCAAAGACCCGCCATTCTGCATGCTGCTAAGAAATGATAAGAAGACGAAGATTCCGATAATGGCACTGCTAGAAGCGCCCTCAAGCCGAATGCTTGCAGGCCTGACCTCTCGCAGCAGCTCTTGGGACGCACTTGGAGGGGTTAGGGCGGAGCGATGCTCCGCCCTTAACCCTATGCCAAACTACCCTGGACTCTAGAGACCCTTGATCAAGGCTATGTCCCTTAAACTCTGAGTCCCATACACCTTAAACCCAAACGGCCTCCGGTCCCTGTGGAGTTTCGTAGCGAGAAAGTTGCCTGAAAGCCCGGCCGCCTCGATGAATCATGGAAAAGCTTTCCTCCTACGAATCAGCACAACTGGGTTGAGGCTCGGAGTCTCACATCCCGAATCCGAGGTCTGAAGCGCAAAAACTCGAAGCACAATCTTCCCTAAATGGTCTCGAGGTGGCAGGAAGTTCAAATCTATTGGGACCGCCTGAAGGCTCGATTGCGGCCTTGGGGCACAGTGTCTGTAGGCCATAGAGGCTGCAGGTATTCAGGGTGGGGTCTCCAAGAGCACACTTCATGATACTTCATGCTTTCACGTTCTTGCCGGGTTCCTGTGATTCGGAGCTCGGTTCAGACCTTCGTCGGTGATGTACTCCAATCCTGTCAACACGCGTGCCCAAACCTGAAATGCCAAGCCTAAGCCCCCCTCCCGACACCCGGGAGCCCGATTTCCCAGTTCTGACCTCCGCAGCGAACTCTATACCTGCAAATGCGCAGCGACCTCAAACCCCTCAGTGCTGCACTCCACGTAGGCTTATGCCTCAAGAATCGGGAAATATCGGCCTGTAGCCCGAATGCTCGTTCATGCCCAGGAGAACCATCACCAACTTCATACCTACCGCCACCACCACCACCACCACCACCACCACCACCACCGCCGCCGCCACAGACTGTGACGAGGACGATCACGACAATATTTTTTTGGTTATGCACCAACCCCACACCACATCTTTAACTCCCAACTTCCGGAGACAATTCAAACTTAAATGCTTGAAAGAAAAAGTAAAAGTCCTGCTACCAGGCACGAGGTTAAGGATTCGGTGCTGAGAAACTAGGACTTGGGTGTATTTACGTGTGCAGAATAGGTGTGGTAATGAGGCTTTCCAATCCTAGCGAAGCCTGCAGCTGAGTTGCAGAAACGTAGGAAACCTGGTACGGACCCCAATAGTTGGTAGCTGGTAGCATCTTCGTTTATGACGGAAGGAATGGCTCACCAATGCTGGTCCGAACGACATAAGCAGTCTGCAGGACTGCCCCGAGACTCAGAGAGTGGTGTGGCGGTTCCATTTAGCTATATCTTGAAGATGTAT